AGGAAGCTTTCCAGCCACTCTTCCCCAAGTAATAATAATCTACTCTGCTGACAGGCATTATGAACTAGTAAGTAGGTAAGGTATGAGAAGTCAGAAAGAGTAATTCTAGGCATTTATGGCAAGGGAAAATATATTTTTCTTTTTAAAATGGAAAAACACTGCAGAAATTAACAATGAAAAAGAATGATGTTAGGATGTTCTTTAGAAGAATGTTGCCCACGTGTGTTTCATTATAAAGCTCAAACTTAAGACCCTTGAAATACATAACCATGGCAGCTAAAGTCAATGGAAGTCCAGGTGGCCATCAGACAGTTCTCAGTCGATCATATATATTCCCACCACCTTTTTCATGCCACCATTAGCACTAACAAGAGTGTATAGTTAGCCAATAAAAGAAAGTTATCAGCCTAAAAGCTAGCCACTGCACGCTCACACAGTGCTAATACCAGAGCAAAGGATGGGAAAGGAGAGAGAGGCTGAGACCATCAAAATCAGAATTTCAAGCAACATGCTATTGTGGAAACATTCCTTCAACATAACATTACAAGACTGAAATATAAAACCTTCATCGCTGTCTGGAAATAATATTGTGTAAGATATTTTACAGTCTTTGAGATTAACCACAGACACAGGAATATCACTACCTATAAAATGGAAGTAACTCAAAACTTGAATATAGAAACCAACCCAGACAAACACTATTACAAATATGTAGAAATTTTACTTACTGCATAGTGTATCATGAATATACCACATTAATTACTTTAAAATACTAATAAAACACAGCAACTTAATTCTTACAGTACCTCCGATTTACTTGCATCTCAAGTTGTTGTATTTTTTCCAAAAGCCCTTTTTCAGCAGCTTCCCTCTGTAATTCAAACTCTTTACAAGCAGTTTGTACTGCATCCTCTTTTTCACAATTGAGCTTCTGAATGAGCAACTGCCTGTCTTGTTCTTGGTTAGATACTAACAGTTCTTTCTCTTCCTTAAGCTTACAGATAATAGCTTCGTATTTTTCCTGCTGCTCACAGAGAGACAATTTTTCTGTTTTTTCCTTTTCTAGGGCATTCGCTTCCAACTCTAACTTACTTTGTAGTTCCGTTATTTGCTCTGAAAGTCTTTTTTCTGCCTCAGAAGTTTTTTGATGAAGAAGTGTTACTTTATTTAGTTCAGTTCTAAGCAAATTTGATTCTTCTTCATATCTGTCTACTAGCTCAGAAATGCACTGATCTTTCTCAATTGTCATCAGAGTCCTTAGTTCCGATAAGCCCACTTGATATTCATCACTGTTAATCTGTATTTTATTGTTTAATTTATCTATCTCCTTTTTTAAGCTTTCAGTTTCCTTATCAATCTGAGATTTTAAGGTCTCTTGTTGCTGGTTTCTACTTTCTTCCAAAAGAAGCTTCATTTCATCAGTTTCTGCCTCTTTCAGGGCAAGTTCAACTTCTAATTTGCACCTCAAATCAGACAGATCTGAAACCTTGAGTTGTAAGTCTTCTACTTGTTGTTGTTTCTCTTGCACAACTACTGCATGAGATTCCTGCATTTGTTCAAGTCTATGCTGGTTCTCTTTTTTTAATTTATCTAAACAGTCCTTGTGCTCAGCTAGCACCTTCTCAAATTCTTGTAAATGCCTGGCTTGTAGGTTGCTTTCCAGTTCTTTTAAATGGTTTTGCTCTAAACTCTCGAGTTCTGCCCTCAGGAGTTGTAGTTTTTCATTGTTTTCAACATGAAGTTTTTTCAAGTCTTCAAGTACTATCTCACGTGACTGTCTCAGTTCCTTAATTTCACAATTTTGTGTCTCCATTTGGCATTCCAATTCAAGTAATTTCTGGTCTTTTTCATTCTGAAGGCAAACTACAGCTTCTTTCTCATTTTTCACTATTGCAAATTCATCATTCTTATTCTGAAGAACTTCCTCAAGGCCTAATAAATCACCTTTTAACTTTTTAATCTTCTTTTTATTTTCTTCACCATCCTCCAATAATTTATTAATTTTAGTTTCATATTCACTTTTCAAAGACTGTAATTCTTTTTGATGTTTATCTTTTAGTGTTTTTTCAAGTGAAAGTTTTACCTTCTCAATAGTACTTACTATTTCTAACGAAGTGCATTTTAAAGAATTAGAAAAGTCACACTGTTCTCTTTGTACAAGTGTTCTAAAGTGGCAAAGATCTTCTTTTATACCTCTTAAATGTACCTTCGAGTCTTGGGCAATAACCCTACACTTCTCCATGCAAACACTGAGAGATGCATTTTCTACTGAAATGTCCTTTACACAAGAGTTTGTATCTTGCATACGTCTACTGTCTATTGCATTGATAACTGAAGAATAAAGAGATTCCACCATCATTTCTGGACTTTGTGGATCACTTATTACATTAGGAGATACTGGATTTTCTTCTATTACAAATTCATTTACTGCTGACATAAAGTCAGATTCTGGACTTTCTGCTAATGAATCTAAGTCTAATGATCCTTGCTTAAGAGCTTGCTCCAAGTTTGGATGGGCGATAGTTTCAAAATCAAATGTATGAGCATCAATGCTGTCTGGAGACAATTCTTCTAATGGAGCTGGGGGACACACAGGAGGACACAGGGGACCCTGAAGACTGAGCGATGGAGGAGTTCTTGAAGAGGTAGCAATTGCGGTTCCTGTTGTACTTTCCATCCTTGGTGTAGTAGCAGATTGTGGCGATGCTTGACTGTTGGAGGCCTACAAGTTATAAAATATGAAACAAACACTTAACGAAGTCATAGGCAAAAGTGTTAATATTTTAAATTAATTAAAAATTACCAGGCAAAACCAAGAACTTAAGAAATCAGCCTTATTCTCCGTAACGGTCCAAAATACATACGATTAAAATTTAAGTAAAAATTGCAGAAATTCAGAGAGATTTTCTAGTAAGCTTCAAAAAAAGCACCATTTGTAAATACATAAATATTAAATGTTCACCTACCCCAAAGTCCTACATAGATCACGTATAATTGTATTTGAAAGGGCTGAAACAGTAAGTTTGGATGATACGAAAAACTGAAGTAACCAGTCAGAAATAGGCTTTGTTTTCTAACAGCCTATTTATTTCAGTTCTCCTAATAATTTTGTTACTAAAATATTTTTATTTTATTGTTGCTAATACTGCTGTTAAAATCAGTGTAATCCAGTATAATATACTAAATTAAGAAGGTTTACAAAAAGCTGAACTACAACAAAACTGTTGTCTACTAACGTATCAAAAACATGCATGAGAACTGTTCTTGTGAGAGTGTAAAAGTAAGACAGTATAATGAAGGGCACATTCTAATTTAAAGCAGTATTCTGATTTTTCAAGAACCAGATTTTTGCAAGACATCACAGTCTGAGTGGATTTTTTTTCCCCTCCATGCTGCTCCCATCGCTCCCAATTTTTATCATTTTGCCTCTAGACCCTGGATACCACCAAACCTGATTCTGTAGCATCAGACACTTCAATCTTCAGCTGAAAAGCTAATAGTTTGAATAACCACCCAATAATCATCCACCAGTAACAGCAGCTTGTAAACCAATACAAAGATTAAGTAAAGCTTTTCCACCTTGATGGAACTGTTCCCAAGTAATTCTGATCAATTCCAGTGCTTTTGATTCTCAAACTTACCTTCAAACCAATTTTCCGATTAATTGTGATTAGATAACATGTTTAAATCTCATTATCATCAGTTCTTGTTCATTACTATATGAATTACAAAGCAAGATCAAGTTCCAGTGCATACTCTACTGTAAAGTGTAAATTCATGCACAGTGTTTGAAAAAACAATCTTTGCTATTTCAAAGATATCATGCTTTTCTATACTGCCATGGAATATATACTTTTAAGTGAATTCAGCTGAATTTTGATTTATCATAGCTATAATAGTTGTAACTGCAGGCCACGTTACGTGCACTTATTTCTATGCACTTGAAATTCAGTAAAGCACCATTTGAAATGCTTTAAAAAAAAATAATCAACCTCAGCAAGGCCTTAGAGACTGTGCCAACAGCCCGTGTTCTGCGATTGTCAAGCTTTTCAAATGTGACTAAAACTCAATTTAACCTACAGTATGATGTATCTACAAGATTACACTTCAGTCATAGATTTTCTTATCTTTGCTATTTATTTAATAGATTTAACATAATAAATTTACTGCTTGCAAGCTTGCTTGAACAGAATAAGTGACATGTGTATTAAAGTCCTCTTCCTTTACTATCTTGACATCTACCAGAACTAGGAACAAATGGTCAACCTGTAATGTCTTATACTGTTAACTATTAAATACAACAGGGAATATAAAAACCCTAATGCCAACAATAATATCATCTGCAGATTCTTAAACCAAAAATATAAATCTTAAGCTTCAGCAAGTGCAAAACACATCCCAGTGGAAGCCAAAAAGCAACATACAGCCTCAGTATCCACCAAGAATGCATTCCTGAACAAGTCTGTAATAGGATGGATAGCGAAGCAATTTTTCCTAAGAAAATTACAGTGAAATACACACAGTTAAAATACGTAAGGAGAGTATCTGTGACACATAGGGTGCAGAGTCGTGAGGAGGATCATCAGGATCACAAACTGGAAGAGAAGTGAGTTTTTTGAATGGATCAGTGTCCTGCAAGATCTCAGATGCATTGTTTGCAACACCATAGCCCAACCATTACCTTGCTTCTCTATCCTTCATCCTTGAAGGACTTGTTTGACCTTATTGATCTGAGGAATGTGACCATCCTGAAAAGAAACTGTTTGTAAAGACTCAGGGGAACATTTGCAGTAAAAGATTCCCATAAGATGTTCAGTCTCAAAGTGCTGGAGACCTTTCAGAATGGTGCTCTTCTCCAAAAAGCCAACACTGCCTCCAGCTGATCCTGATGATCCTGCTCATGCCTCTTTTCCAAACCATCCACACTGTCTCCATGCATTTAAATCACATCTGGTGTTCTTTAGTACATTAGTTTTTATTGAAGAAACTTGTGCTATCCATTGAACTCAGCTACTTGACTGGCAACAGTTAGTGGAGCTGGGCAATAAATGGTCAGCAACAGAACTTCAAAAAAAACAGACAGAAGTGACAGATATCAGACTGCTGATGTATAAATAGCCGATTTTTGTTTTCTCAATCTTTTACAAATGGCTGCTACCCAAAAAGGGACCCTATTCTTCTCTGTACCATCTAAATATTCTCTTAATGGAGATGTAGTGTGATTGAATTCTGAACTGAGATTTAGGAAGAACCTATTTCCAGCTCTGACACTCATCTATATAGCAGAGCTGCATTTACATCTCATCTCCATTAGCCTTTGCATCTATATGAAGGTAAATCATACAATGATTTTGAAATCCAATGGTGAAAACCCTCTGTAAAAAAAAAAGATGTTCATTATACACATAATACCGTCTTTAGTTATCAAAAATGAAACAGGACATGAGACAAAAAAAGTTAAAGGGAAATGCTCCTTTTGTTAAAAGTACTATTAGTCCAGGTTTAAGCATTTCCCTGGGGTTTAATTTTAGCTTGCTGTTTATCTAAGAAAACTTAGAAAAAGAAATATTGAAGGATACATGCCTGGATTCAAAGGTTATGCTTTAAGTGACAAACACTTAACATTTTTAAACCAGAGCTTTAACAGTAATAATAGCTAGCAACACAGATGTCAGTAAGCACATACTAAAAAAGCACTTCAAAGACTTTGAATATTAGAAGGCCCTATAGAAAGCCAAGTGCAAAGGAAAGATGGTATCTACTTTTGGCACCCCTGCAGAATCATCCTAAAAGATAAAGACTAAGGATATAGCATAAAGAAGAAAACGAAACAAAGACTGTGTTTACTGTTGCCTATTTTCCCGAGAAGCTGGTGCCTGCCATCTAGTCTACTTACAGTCTACAGGCAGCAATGTATGCATATGTCATACACTGTAATTCCTGTGATGACAAAGGAAAAGGAGTCAAGAGCAAACAAGAAAAAACAGAAAGCAGAGACAGAGAAGCAGAGCTAATTTATAAGTTCTCAAGTGTTGCAGGATTATATGCCTTGTTCTAGTTATGTTACTATGATAAACAGGGAATGTGGCAGTTCTTGGAAGGATTACAAACTGTTTGAATTTCGAACTCAACTAGAACAAATGGTAGATTCATAATCTTACTTGAAAAGCCAGCTTCTCTTGTAAGAGAAACTTTTAATAACAAAGGATTGCGTATGTTAATCACCTACTAACCGTGGAGAAGACACCTTAATCATCTTACCTGATTCCTACAGGGCCTTAACTTTCTCCTGGATATCTTTAACCCAATCACTGATCTGCTTAAACTTTGTCTGTATTATGGAAATGAGAGGGCACAGCAATATCTTTGGTGTGAGACTACTAAATTACAAAGAACAAGCAGAGAGGTTTAAAAAGGAAAACAGATTTCGAAGTAGTAACAAATCAACAACAATGTTGTTTAACTACTCTGGTGTAATACTAAAAAAAGAAATCGGATATCAGATAGAGAAGCATATCATCATTAATGTTCTATGAACTTGAAAGCTGAAATAGTAAGAGTTACGGGGACACTTAAAAAGAAATGGTACTAACCTCCCTCGTAAGATATTGGATCTCCTCTCTCACTTGCTTTTTGCTCATTTGTCTGCGCCCACAGCTTTTCTCTCCTGCCTAAAGCAACTATCAAAAGCTGCTGTGGCTGATGTAGTAGGATGAACTCCCACCTGACCCAGAAAGAGCTAAACTGCTGCACTACCAACAAGCCAGGGAAACTACTCCAGTCCAACTTAAAGAACCAAGCTTCTGCTGTCACTTGTATGGAAAGGGAGGTTGGGGTCAAAAATATCTCCTTAGGAGAGGACAAGAACAACGTCCTGCTACATGGGCAACACTCAACACCTGCACAGTCATCGCCAACTCTGCAGCAAACTGGGACAATATCTTACAGTTCACAAACAGAATGTGTAGGTGCATGAAGCTGTAGGCATATTCAGGAATATTATTAAATGTTTATTCATCCTTCTAATTATATACTGTAAATTCCCAGTAATACTAAGGATAAGAAAAGAACATTTTCAAATTATTTCAGTAATTCTATGCAAAAAAAGAACACGGACAAAAGTAGTATAATTTAAAAAACACTTCTAGACCATCTGTGGGACAAAGCAACACAGAGAAAGACCTAGTATCTTTCACCAAGTAATAACAAGAGCACTGTCGTTGAAAAGGAAAAAAATCTCTGAAAGCTCTATTTGCTTCAATTCCAAAAAAGAGTTCAAATGAATCATTGAAATTACACACAGAGATAGACATTTTCAAGATGACATCATGAATGGCCCAGCTTTGACTGTGCAATGCAATTTACTCTAAGGAAAGAGACAATTATCCAAATCTGTCTAAGCACTTGACATTTCTGAGTAAGCCAAGAATTCAAACTGGTCAAAGCACAGCAAAAGAGAGAGTGGAAAGAACAGATCCTCCTGATTTGGCAAACACCTTTTTTGTGCAGCCAGACACTGATAAAAATTTCTCAGATAAGCAAGTCTGAACGAAAAAGGGCAAACCATCAAGTCTTGAACAAGTAAGGCACCTTTCCTGCTTATTTTCCCACTGTCGTTATGTGTATTTTGGATTAAAAATTTTGATTTATTTTGATTTATTTCACACTCTTCTAACAATGCAAGCCTTAGTGAAAAATGAATTCGTTAGAACACCTGCCACTATCCTGGCTTCTTATGAGCTAAATTTCAGGATGCTGGGGGCTGACTCCTATATCTCAGAGCATGGTCTTTTGGAAGAGCATGTTAAAAAAACTCCCAGATGTCACAAAATTTACACCACTCCTAACCATTCCATTGGCTAATACAGTGATCAGGCCCTAACACTTTTGTTCTTAACGGCTGTTCATATAAAAATTAATCTTCATAAATACAGAAAAGAGCTAAGATATGACATAAATTACACACCTTTTCTATATTACAGAACAATGAGCAGCCCAGATCTCATATTTTACATAAATGAAAGTCTTCCAGTAAATCTCTTGTTCAAGTTCCAGAGGAGTAAGAAGATAGAGGACTTCATGTCACCTGGTTTAAGCAGGAATTTGTTAATTCAAAACTGAACATGCCCATAACCTTGGCAGTTACAGAAGATGCTTCTAGTCAGCATCAAAATGCATACAAACACTTATACTGTAGATAACAGAGTCCCACACTTTTTTCCAATGACACTTTTTCTACAGCAAAACTGCTAAAGAAACCCGATTTGAAGCAGTCAACTTCACGTATAATTTTAAGCATTGCTAAATTCACCCAGGGTTTCACTGGGACAGGCTACGGAAGCTAAAAGGACCCCTTTGGTGTATTATGAAAGTCAGAGGCTGAACGCATAGAAGCAATCAAAAGTGACTGGCAGAAACAGAGTTTCTACACGAAAGAATCTGAGAGTTCTTTTTGCCATCTGTTCCTTCTATACTCAAACAAAAAGACTGCACATATTTCTTCCCTTCCCCAAAAAGCAGGACTGCAACAAAGGAGTAGATGACACATTAATATTCAGGCTAATGGGGACAACCAATCAAGGCCCTAAATTCTCCTTAACTGCTTGTGCCAAAAGGACTTCAAGCAGCAATGCAAACATCTAAAGTAGTAACAAACAATTTCATTAAATACAAACTAAAGCGACAAAGGCAAAATGCACACATTCTGCACACAAAAGCTTGAGAAAATGGCAGAGAGCAGAAATCTTAACAGAATAATTCTCCTTCTACAATTTTTGTGGAACATAAGCATCTGTTAAATGTTTAGAAGATATTTAAGATCTTTTGACTATTCTCTAGATAGACTTACTTTACTCGTTGAAGAGCTCAAAATTCTCAGAATATTTATTAGTACGTGATTCGAAAGGAAGCTATTATTATGCAGTTATGAGACCAACTAATCTTTACATCGGGAAAAACAAAGTTTCTTTCTGAAAAGGTTGATAAAACAATACTATGAAAATATTCTATTCTTTTGAATAGAATATTCTCTTTTCTTGGTAAAGAAAAACAAAAATACCTTTTGTTCATTCAGCAGGTCTGTAATGGTTTGTGACATTTCATCCAAACTCTGTGCTGCTTTTACCAGGTTATGTAGAGCACGTACATGCTGGTGAAGAGGTTCAAAGTCACAAAGTATAGGAACCCTTAAAAACAGTATAGGATTAAAATTTTTTTTCCACATTGTTAATCTAATATTCAAATAAATTAAATTATTATGTGTATATTCCAACAAGACTAAGCTTCCCTCCATATAAGGTTTGTACTTTCTTCATTTCATCTACTTTACGTGGAAAATCCACTAAAACCACCTGGTATTTGTGTTTTGTATTAAGAACTTGAGAGCTTTTAAGGAGTAGATAGTGATAATCACAATGATGGGGAAGTACTATGTCAGAGTTTTTCCTTCCGAGGAAAACATTTACCAGTAGTACCTAGAGTTACAATAACAGTAACAGAAGAGAATTGATAGCAATTAGATCTGTAATTGAAGCACTTATGTTTGCAAATGACTATTCTTCCTTCCAGTTGGATTCTCTCCAATCCAGCTCTTCCTTTGAAGTAGCTATAAGTTCTCTACTATTTTAATGATAGGTAACCTAAACTAAAAGACTGATTAACATGTCATGATCACATTGCAAGTGTTGCAAGATAAGCTTTCGATTGCAAGTTTTCTAAACTTCTGGAAAAGCAACATTTAATTTTTTTTGAGAGTCCGTATATCCAGAATTTTTACTTTGTTCAGGAACAGCTCCACTGAAACCATGAAGCAGGAGTTCATTTAGACTAACAATATAATAAAAACAGATTACACTTCAATGTATTTTGCATTCTCTATTCAATATTCAGGACAAGTGGCACCCAGTGTATTTTTGTAGAATTAAGATTTCAATAATTGCTGAAACATAAGTTGAGAAGACTGAAGCATTTTAAGTAAACAGAAGCATCATTTTAATTATGCAGCTCAGGGCTTCAGCGCTGATAGAAAAGGACTCTGTGCTGGGTCTCTGTTTACCTACTGCTTGCTTTTTAGATGTTAAATGAAAATACCAAAGTTGTTTCTTCTGAAGCTCCGTTTCTACAAAGGTGTGTGACAGCTTTACCCACTCGAGTTCCAAATCCACCACTATCATCAATATTTCCACCAAATGTAACCCTGAGCCCAGAAACCAGGAGGAACATGACATAATCCCACCTCTATTGCCATCAAGTGGAAAGCTATGTCACTACAATTCTGACCAACTAAAACAATTTGGTTAGTGATTGGTTTTCTGACAATAGCAAGGGAAAATTCTTCCTGAGCTTAGTCTGAACTTCCCAGGAAGGTTGTAAAATTCTTACAAACACAAAAAATCAGGTAAATATCAGTAGTATGATACTATAGTTTGCATTTTTTTTTCCTGCAGAATCACTAAGGAGCAAGCCTAAGAGCATAACAAGAGAAACTAAAAGGGTCAGCTGTATCATGATCTAGGGCAAATCCACTGTCAAGCAGACTAAGCTCACTATACTTATTTTTAATTCCAGCAGCAATACCAGAAGGATGGCCAGGAATTCTGAATCAAAAAGAATGCCAGTACAAAACAGAGGTGAAAACAGCAGTGAATTCAGCTCCTGCACTGTGCACCAAAAACAGGTATCAGGCTGATACTGTTGGTGAACCTGACAGATGACAGGGGAGCATCCTCCTTTTGGATTTACCTTATCATCCTTTGTGGGATTGTGGCCTTGGGGCTAAAAAATGGAATCTCAGCAAATCTCTAACTGCAGATCTCTTCTAGCAGAAGGATGATGGATACCCTGCATAATCTGATTGTGGTCATACCGACAAACAGATCTCTTCCTAGACAGAACCTTACACAGAACGTGCTACTGCCTATTTCTTGTCCATTATCTTGGTTGGCATTTCTCTATCCAACTGGTACAGGCTTAAGACTTAGGAGTTTGAAAGCTCACTCTAACAGTCAACTTTTCCAGAAAGAGGCACTGACAGCATACACCTTTTAGTAAGGTAAGTCTGTCAGAGAAAAATAATAATTGAATACAGGAGACCTCTATGATCTCATGCTGGCCTAAAGAAATTTGTTTTATTTTCTCCAGAATACCACATTAACAATGCGCAAATGAAAAAAAAAAATCTAATTCTGATCTGACAAAACATACATGAAGTTATGAGTTTATTTCAGTTTAAACCTGACAACCAGAGTTTTTTGGGTTTTAACTATGACGCAGCTCAGAGGAACGTCCAACATCCTTTACACCTCAATACAGAATACATTTGTTCAAATCATCTGAGCTTGAGTACATGAAGCATATAGGTAACAAGTATTTGCATTAAGTCATTGAAGAGCATTGATTAAGAATGATATTAGCTCAAAAAAATATCCTTGTCTGTTCCTTAAGAAAAATGAATTGTGGGTAGGAGCAGGACAGAAAGGGAAGCTATTTCCATAGCGCGCACAGTTTAAAAAAGTGATTTACCTGAGTAACGGCTGTACTTCTGAAGGACAAAATGACTGCAAAAACTGCAAGTCACTTAATGAGATATCTGGAAGCTCACTGTCAAATCTGCGAGGTTTTCGTGTCTGTATTAAGAAGAAATTAATTTACACGTTGTTGTTAAGGTAAATAATATCAAGATGACTAAGGAAGGATTAAAAAAGCTTAATTAATAACACGGAAAAGTTGCTGTTAAACTGATCTCTCTCTCAAAAGATTTCATACTTTTTTTTAAAAGGAACCATGTCTGGCCCACTCCCATCCCCCTAAAAAAAAAAAGATTTACATTTATAGCCATTAATTCTATCCATTGTGCCTTGGGCAGCAGTACTTCCTCCCTGTTACCAAGCTTCATAAACACTAAGGACGTGTTTAAGAAGTTAAGGGATAAGAGATGGCACTGAAGCTTTACTTATTGTGCTACTAAACATACAGACAAGTAAGTATTAACTCAGTTCAGTATTTAACACACTGAAATGAGTGGCATTCTTATTTTTCCAAGTATCCTTTCAAAAAAAAGCTACAAAGGAGAAGCTGAAAAGGTTAAGTGAGGCAAAGTGAGATGGCAACATTAGAATCAGGGAGAGTTATTGTACTTGAATTAACCAAGCTGTATGAAATCACAGTTAACAGGCAATGCTTGATTACAGCCATACTTTTTCACCCCTTCATGTTATCAGCCAATGAAGAGATGAAAATGCTTTTCTGCTCATCTAGTGATTATAGAAAAACATGAAAATCTTTTATTTGCTTTTACCACCCGATTAATTTTATGGCTTTATTATTCAGAAGAGTGGATTAGATGATGAAATTATTCCTATTGGCTTCTTTTTTCTGATCATTAATAGGAATTTTTTGTTCAATACCACAAACTCCTTGTTAAAAAGGAGTATCGAGTTGACATTTCCTCTCCCACCACACTGCAAGTTACAAACTGATATTAATATAGGTCACTTGAAATAGCAAAGAACACTAACTCCCAGCAGTAGCTCATCTGTCAGAGCAATGTGACAGGCACACAGCTTGAATGAATTAAGCTTAGGTTTTTAATTTATGGAAGTAGTGTTTATAAAAATGAAATAAAACCCAAGAAGATATTGAGTACATACACAAAAGGATGGAGGCCAGGAGTCAAGTCCTCTAAACAAACGATTCCTTAGAAAAGACTTCCCTGGGCAAAGAAAAAGTGGTTACTTAAAAGAAAGAAATGCAACATACAAACAATGCCTCAAGACAAACCAGTTAAGCTACTGCAGTTTAACAGCTGAACTAAATTTGAAAGCATTACTAACTATGCCACCTCTTGACAACATAAAAATCACAAGTGACCACAGAATTTGACGCAAAACCCACCATAAAGGCAGAACTTCTCACTTCATTGCAGCCTCTTTTTGCTTAATGTTCACCCCTATAAAAGCCTCAACTCCTTTTTCAGATTTTCATTGTAATCTTGCTAATCTCCTTTCCAAAATTTTGATAACCTTTTGCTCAATTTTCTTATTTTAGTAGTTCATTCAGAACATAAGTTGCATACTTTGCAGAAAAAAGAAAAAATAATTAGATTTCTTTTACCAGCAACTTCATTTTTAATTTTTTTAACCTCTGGTCAAGCTCTTTAGACATGGGTGTTCGTTCTTTTTTATTTCTGGAGTAGTACAGAAGTCGTAACAATACTCAAATATTCAGTAATGGTTTCAAAAGTGTTATTTATAAGAACGGTAAAGCTCGCAGAGCACGTTCAAACAGAAACTGCATTCAAATGTAATAATTAGAAATCTTATCTTTTACAAGCATTAAACTAATTAGAACTTTCACAGTATTTTGGATAATCTATATGAAACAGTTCACTAATTTGATTAATAGAAAAATTAATAGAAAAATATTCTGTTCATAATAGGACCATCTGGCACACTGCATGCATTTCCGATGTAAGTAAAAAATAAAATATACAGGTATTTAAACTACAACATAATGAAAGTATTTTAACTACAAAGACAAAAGTCATACTTAACCACAATTCTAATTTCATAAAAGAGAAAGTACTTACTGAACAGTTTACCAAAAGATTCCCTTTTTGCTTTTTCAGCTTCATATAGGTGCTTCCCATCTTTTATTAAAGCACCCGCCCACTGTGGAAGGGAAAATATGTAGTTAGTTGTTAATTTATAAATTGACACAAAGGTTTGTTCTCAAAGTTTTACTTACTTACCTCCCTGTAGTGTTTTATGAACATTTTTCTCCTCACAACCTCAACAACAGCTAGACAGTACATTTGAGGAACAGTACTGAGAGCCTCTACAACCTTGACCCTTTCTAGGAGCTCTGTTACAAGACGAAGCAATGCTTGTAGTTTCTCTCCATCTTGGTCAGCATGAAGCATTACAAAACAACACCACCTACAAAAGTAGGTTACACTTTAGAAGATAACAACTTAGTCATCTTTTCTGCATTTAAATTTCACTAAGATTAGCAACGTGTCTGGATGAACTGAACAACGACATCATTTTACATGGGACAACAATAGGCTATCTGGAAGTACCAAGCAATTCAGAATTCAGCTATTGCCTTGCAATTCCCTGTTAACTTCTCACAGTAAGATATCCGTATCAGTGCTCAAAAAATGAACACTTACCACCATTCAAGTTAAGGTATCGTTTTTGACAAGGAATGGTCTTAGCATACATAACCTTAGGAGGAATCTTTGTCACTAGTGCACTGCTGATTCTGCTTTACTTCTTCCTGCACTTTGCACCTGCCTCATCTATACAAACTGCAATCTCTTCAAGAAGGAAAAACAAACAACAAAAAAATCTACTTGATGGATATCCAGCGTGCAAGCCTAACAGGGTCACAACGTTGCCTAATTATTAGCTGCTAGCATAAACAAAGTTTTTTCCTTCAAAAATTGTTAAACTCGGTATACTATTCCTATGTATCTGATATGACAAATTATCTAAAGCTTAATAATTAAAGTGTAGTAGTGTGAAAAACTGTATTTCCCACTGAGCAATATAGACTACTTACTGCCTTCCATGGTATACAGTAATGATGCTTACATGAAAAATTATCATTTTTACTGGCTGTGACTGGATATAATTATTTTTCATGAACTAAATCAAACTACTGGCATGTTTTTCTGCTTTGATGTGACCACAAGCTACTGAAGAGTGTTTTACTTATGCTTATTATAATCCTTTGAAAACATCAATATAATTGCCGGTCAAACTTTATATAAGATACTGACAGCTTCTGAGGTTGATGAGAGGGGAGGGGATTGTAGGTTCTTGGATATTGTTTTATTGATATGAAGACCATTTAAACTCTACGAAGACTTTCTCTGAAAGTAATATTTTGTTTCACACCTACAAATAACTTCATATACAAACTGAAGTGATCCAACTTTTATTTTCTCTCCCATTAAGAAAAACTCGATGCATTACCAAAGATTTTCTGAAGACACACATTCTTTAAACAGTCTTGATACAAGGGGAAGCCATATAAAGTTGAAAAGTTGTAACTTACTTCAGTCTGACTTGTAGATTATTTGCAAGCTCCTGTTTGGCAGTGGTACATTTCTGTTTAATATCTAACAGTTTTCTGTGATTAGTTAACATAATCATCAGCTGATTTGCATGACTCAAACACAAATCAGGCAGCACAGAAGGATCTTTCAAGTTCTCAGCTCTCTTCTGATTAGCCAAAAATCCCTAGAGGAAAAAAGACACGTTTGTTACACAAGCTTTGTGACAATCAAAAAGCATGGAAGTGATCCATCTTCTCTGTAAGAATGCAAGCATTTTAGTAAACTTACCGTAACCATTGAGGAGTATAACAGAACGCTACATAGAGAAGTCAAGTGTCAAAGTTGCTTTCTTTTCATTCTATAATCCAGTCCAAATAAATCTTATCTTATATTTCCCTCCCAAACAACACAACCCTAGAAGAACTTTAAACAACTAACGAATACCAGTGAAAGACCACAAAAGTTAATGCAGCAGAAAAGTAGCTACTAGGATGGAGGGCATCAACCATCATTCTAATTTCCACAAACAACCAGCTTGTTAACTTCTGGCACATGCAAGACTTGATATCAACTTAGAGCATATTCAGTACTACTATGGGCTAAAGAATGTATTTTTTGCATAAAGAAATTCATACGTGAAACTAATTCTTCTTGAAAGCCCAGATCGCAGCTAGACGTCTTATTTACACATAGGAGTTGGGCACGGGGAAGAATTATCTGTTGTGGATGGTAACAGGCAACCCCTAAAAGGGTGGGAGGCAAAACGGAGAAGATGGACTGCCTTAGATAAACGTCTTGGATGGCTGACTACAGGAGGTAACGTATGTACACATACACAGAAGAGATAGCTGTATGTACACATACACAGGAAGACAGGGGGCTTGTGGCATAACAACTACTGTGCCAGGCCACTGTCTCCTTCATCACATTCAACAGGCAAGATAAAATACTGCTGGAAACAGTGTGATTCTTTAGGCAAGAAAATACCACCCAACACCACCAATTTTAGCTTTCATTTTGTCCACATTTATATCATCTCTCTGACATGTTACTTGAACATCACACTGGTCATTACATTTGTAGTTCTACAAATGTTTATTAAGCCTTTGTTTTCTTAATAAAGAATTCAAAACTAGACAATAGTTTTAACTGTTTCTTTCTAAAGCTGAAGTTGATGAGAACAGTAAACCACAGAGTTATACAAAACTGCTGAAAAATGAAACCAAAAGCAGGCTGCAAACATTTTAACTGTATGTATTATCCAAGCCAAGTGAATGGAAACCAGAAAAGGTGGGAAGAACTGTTATTGCGATGAACAGGACAGCCCCATCAAAAGAACTTGAGTTGTTCAGTCAAGGAAGACAAAGACATTGAAGAAACATGCTGTGATAATCGTTAGGGAATTGCCAAGCACCAAAATGAAAGACAGTATAGGCATGGGAGCATTAGACTTGAACGGGCCAAGAATACTTTCTGATCTGAGATTAACAGATGCTTATAAACATTAGGACAATCAGATTCTATACAACTTTGCACAAGGAATAGAGAAGTCAAGAAAATAATTGCTTTTAAATACCAGCTCAGTAAGCTTTTTAAACAAATCACATGGCATGGAGCCTGAAGTTACACAAAACTGGATGCAGTGAGTCAGAAAATCCCTTCCAGCTTTACTCTCAGTTCCAAAAGACTATTGATAAATTTGAGTATCTTTTGCCACTCTTGTACCTGTGGACCCATCTTTAACATAAAATTTAAACTAAAATTACCCTAGTATGCAAATGGGAAAGAAAAATCTCAGCATACTAGAAAAGGCCAGTTAAGAAAAACTGCAGTAAACTGAGAAAAAAAAAAAGGCGGGGGGGGGGGACCCCCAAAAAATTGTGAAAAAATAAAGAAAAATAAAAAAAAAAAAAAAAAAAAAAAAAAAATGGGGGGGGGGGGGGGGAACCCCAATAAATTGTGAAGAAATCCAAGATCTAAATAATCAATTGTTCTCACAAATTCTTGCCTTTCTAGCCCTGATCAGATGACAGGATTCATGACATGAGCATCATAGTCAAACTAAGAAGGGTTCTGAAAAACAGGTATGATAATGCCATTATGGATTTTTCCCAATGACTATTTCCAAATCAAAGAAGCAACAATAAAGAATATTTAAAAACATTTTAGACTGAAGTTCAAGCCATCAACAGGGAAGGCAGTCAGTGGTGTAATAAGCAGCTAAGACGACCCTGAATCCCTATAAACTTACGAATCTAAGGTTTTCTTTGATGTAACAAGAAGCAGGAGGAAAATAAAAGTACAGAATATGATAGTGATAAAGTCCTTTTCCCAACAACTTCAAGTGAAAGAGAACAAGCACAGAATCAACCAGTTGGCCCATCTGCCAACCAGTTTTTTTGACTATGTTTAACAGAGCTAAAAGAAGAGTAACACTTCTATGAACCTAACTGATGGAAATGCATTTGGATGTAACAAAATGTTTTGAAAAGCTACACTACTAATAGGGAACTTAAAAAATAAAAAAAAAAAAAATCAAACACAAGAAAATGTTGGAAAGGATAAGCTATTGGGCAGAATCACACTGAAAGATTAGAGAGGCTCCAAATTTTCTAGAGGCATACTCTTATTACATAATGCCACCTACTGACCACACTCCTATATGCTTACGTTACAAATCCCAGCTTCCACAGAGAAAAATAGTTTTTTAATTTACCAAGCAGCTTTCCATATTAAACGTTAGGGGCTGGAGATCAACTATTCAACTACATAACTCAGGATGTAATTTTTCATACAAAAGGCTGTTTAATGGTCAGTTAATTGAAAAGGCTGAGTGGAAGCAGAAGAACTCTTAAGGCAGGCCCAGGAACAAGAAAATTAACTAAGCAATGAGGCCTTCTAGCAGCAGATGATTTTGTTCCATGGGATGAGTTTGGTTTGAATTTTAATAATGAAACTGAAGTTGGAGTAGAAAGTCAACTCAACTTCTGGATAGAACATCAGCTTTTTCTGGCCTGGGGAAAATAAGCCTACATCTTCCAATACAAATACTGCCAATGGGATTACCATTGAGATGTTCCTTATCCTTGTTCTATTAAGTACCTCCACTTTATTTCTTTATGAACAGAAACAGTTCACTGGTGGAAGGTGTGATATAAAGGAAAATTGTGAGGTTTTTTTCAGGTAACACCAATTATTAACAGTTACTACACAAATTGTGAGCACCATGTTTAAAAATACACAAGTCCTCATCTATATTTTTAAATATAATTAAACCCTCACACTTCGCCATTCGTCTTAGATTTCTATGCAGACTATCATTTGAATGAGCAACATTATACTAGCTCTAATATCTTACAAGTGCCTATTTTTTTCCAAACAGTATCCAAACAACTGCTAAAACTGGTAGGAAAATAATTCCTAAGGCTCAAATATAAAATCAAGGAATAAAAGCATCTTGTAGTACACTTAATCACTTGTTTAATCACAAACATTTAATTAATTGAAGCTTCAAAAAACCAATTAAAAAAACCCAAACACACCATCACATTCTATCTGACTGTTCTTAAAAACCCCTATATCATAAGTAAAGGAATAGACAATTTATAAAAAGAAAAGGTAAAGATGAAGATTTGAAAGTTACAAGTCTCTGACAAGTCTTCAAAAGGTACATATTCTAAATTTACAGTGGCATTTAAACAAGGTGACAAAGTATCTTTCCAAGTGACTTTTAGGCATCTCACTCAAAAGTGGGATTGGTAAACTTGAGGTAGGCTCTTCACTCAAGTGAAGAGGGAAAACATATCTAAAACTACCACTCACAGCATTGGGCAACCAAGTATAGGGATTGAAGAGTAGCTTTTCCATCAAGCTAAATTCCCTTGGATTTAGCACTGGCCTACAATATAAACACTGCAAGACTGAGATTTAGCACAAACTTACTTCTAGACTTGCTCATTGAAATTATTTGAAGACAGGCTCCATTTTTAAACAATGCTGCCAGAAGTACTGGTAGCACCCACCTTTACGTACCAGCCAGAGGATGGAGCAGGAAGCCTGGGTCCTATGCAACTGTCAGCCCAGTTCTCTCCTCCTCAAAAGGGAGCTCTAACCACCCCAAGATAGGGAGGCACCATTGTTCACTTGCTCCTACTACTGATGTACCAATGTGCAAGCAGAAATAAGAAACTCACGCCACCTTCTTCTGATGTAATGGTGAAAATTTGAACGTCAGATAATGACCACACACAGATTTTAATACACTTTCAGTTGCAAACAAGGCATTAAAGGACAATCTTAGGAATAAAGTTAAATGAAGCTCTTCACAGAAACTGTATTTAATAAAGAAGCTTTGTTATGGCACTGTAATGTTTTAAAAAAAATATGAGCGATATATTTTACATTTAAAATAGTCTTTAACCAAATTTGTTATCACTTCAAATGACACTGTCTAGTGCAGGCACACTACTCCATCTCCTCACTAAGAGCTTGGTGATCAACCATTAACCACATACATGAAGTGGCACAATGAGCTAAATAACCAAGCTCACATACATGAGCTAACTAACCAAGAGAAAGGATAAAAGGACAGTGGAAGAGCTCACCAACTGTCTGGCTGTATTTGACTCTGGAACTAGTTGAAGGTCAGAAGACAACAACATATTAAGAACAAACCAACAAATTAGTTGGTGTAACAGGAAGTGTTCAGGACATGCCACCTGGGCATGATGCCAATTTCATGCCTCATTTTCCCTTTCCATTATTGAGATTTTTTCCACTTCTGCCTTCCATTTAATGAGAGACTGGATGAACTAGCAAAGATTAATTATTCACAGCATCCTCGTCTCCAGCATATGAGCAACTGCAACTACAGGCTGTTTTTGATGGTCTACCATTGGCAAAAAGTTGTCTGCTCTTAAATGTAGCTGTAAACCAGGTGGAATTTAGACAGATTTGACAAAGATATGTCCGGGTAGATACTAAGATAATATTTAAGCCAGATATTTTCTTTCCCTTAAGCTCAGAATACTCATTAAAAACATCCATTTTCAAATAAGCTTTAAAATAAATATCTACTGTGGTTTTTAGCTGTTAGACATCTTCATCAGATCCTATTTTTATTAGCAGCTTTCTACATTAACGTGCAAAATGTTACACTACTACAGCACAACCTGTTTGTAAGCCATTCACTAGATTTAACAAGATACACCTTAACACAAGAAACACCTTAAAAGGTATTTTCAAAGTTTTTAAATTTTACCATTTTTCAAGTGATTCTTACTCATCCAGAAGAAACCTAATTTCTAAAATAAAAATAAACTAGATGTATTCTATTCCAGAAACAATACCATATACTGATGTATCTCAGAAGCCAGCAATTTTACACTGGTGTTTTCATGAGAATGCTGATTGGCTGAATTGGAATTAAATATGTTCTTCCAGATTATAACCAAGAGAATCTTGACAGAAATACTTTAGCTATAAAAACATACAGTTTAATATGCAATTGACAAAGTTGCAGTGAACTACAGCTCTGCATGTTCCTAGTGCATTAATTCTAGGATATTTTAAGTAAGACATTTTTATTTTGTAGAGTGACTTTTTCTCCAATATAGATGAAGTGACATAAATATAAGTCCTATATTTAAGTTCCAGTGCTGTCCACCACCCACTGTTGCATTTTCAACTAGTTTGATGTTTTAAAGAAAGTATTTAAATTAACATGGTAGTTGGAGTTACGAGCTGAAAACACGACCACAAGATGTAATATACCAATATTTAACTGTCAGATTATTATAAATATAGCACCTTTTTGAGCACCTCCAGTGTAGTAAGTTGAAAACGATCTTGCATTAAGACATGCAATTGTTTCATTGTAATCTTTTAACAGCATACACGTATCAAAAATCTACTATCTTCCAATGTGTATTACCTGAGCAAGTTCTTTTTGTTCATTCACCAGTCTGCTGCAGCTTGCTATCATCTGGTCCAATGCATAGAGCCTATCCTCAAGGCCTTTAATAGCCTTCATGTTCTGATTATCTAGTTTGGCGATAGTTTGTCGACATTCTGCCAGAAAGGGTTGGATGATCCTTGGGTCAAGCTAAAAAAAAAACAAAAACAAAACAAAAAAGTAAAAAATAATGTTTATTAGCAGTTGACATATGGAAAGGTAACGTGACCTAGCTACATGAGTCTTTATAACCTTAATATTTTCCTTTTTTCCCCCCTCCCCCCATCTCATGTGTGCCTACATCTTGTCATCTGTTTCAGAATTCTGAGTTAATGGGTCTGTGGATTTTGTATCACAGCATGAATTTCTCTGAAGTATTCCAACCAGATCATCATAAAAATCAGGATACTTACAAGGGGAAAGGACATTAATTAGCTGAAGGGACAGGTGCGGGGGAGAGAGGCAGTTTAAAGTTAATGAACACAGTCTTCCCTGGAACAGAATCCATACAGCTACAATCAAAACAAGTGATGAATGTGACTCAGGGGAAAAGTGTAGTAGGGAGAGTGATGGGAAAAAGCTGCAAGACCCATTAGCCCTTTCCCACTAAATGACTGTTTTAAATGATTCCTTAGACAAGCAGATCAGCTCTAAATAACTGGAAAACGAGCTATGGAAAAACAATACATTTGTAATACTTCCTACTAATGTTTTTCCTAACGAAGACACTTTTTAAAAACTATTTCATCATATTCCTTCACAGGCCATTATCCAGAAAAAAATTGTTTAAAACACTAAGAGGCTACCAATGTCCACAGATATTGATATTAAGGGTGGCTCTTCAAGTTTCACTATGAGAGTAGTGAAATAAACTAGAGCCTTTATTTCCCTAGTTCTAAAACCAACATAGCTAATTGCAACAGCTTATGTAGGTCAGAGTTTAGTCTAAACCTGGAATACATTAGTTACGAACATAGTAAGAGTCATTAGGTGTTAGCAGAACATGAACAAATTTGCCCAAATTTATCCAAAATGGTTATGGTATGCCATCTATTCTACGAGAATCTAGTGAAAAGGACACTATCCTGTGAGGTCATACTAGCTGTCACAGCACTGGCTTCTTTCGTCAACATGCAGGGTTTATGCCACTTACAGAGCACACAAATTAACCCTCAAAAAAGAAGCCACTTTTATTTATGTTAATATTGAGTCATATAAGTACTATTTTCCCCTCAATCTATTATTTTAACTGTATAAAAGCTTTCACACACAGCACTTTTTCATTCTGGAAACACCCCTCTGGGGCATAGAGAGAGGAATCTGAAGAGGAAAAGCATTACAAATTAAGGAGCAACTACAACGAATAGGTCTTCATTCCCTTCAAACAAACAAAAAAAAAACCCACAAAAAAACACAAACAACGAAAAAAAGACCACAAGGGAAAGTACTAAAAACTGGTAGTTAGCCCAGAACTTTTCAGAATAAATAATTAATGCTATTATTAATGTGACAAAATACGTCGAAGTTCTCTGAAGACGGCAAAGGCTAATTTTTAGTATGTTATGAATGGTCTTATGAATCTTGGTCCTTCTCAAGTGAGTTGTCCATCTTCAAGAACCAGTAATAAATATAGTCTCTGAGATTAAACCAGATTGTTCTTTAGTATTTTGTCTGTTAAGAAACTGTTCTGGATGCTGCAGTGGAGTAATTCGGGATGCCACAGGGGAGTAATCCTGAATAGGATGGCAGTGAAGATGATCCTATAAAAACAATGTGGTGAGGTTTTTTTTCCTTTTTTACCTTCATAAACTAGTTGTGTTTTATCTCTTTTTACAAGGAATGCCTATTCATCTCATTCCACCCTGTAATTTATTTCCTCCATCCATTCTTTTTACACCATCCTCGACCTAACTGCATCTCTAAAAACTCAGCTCTACTTTCACTAGTAGCTAATATTGCTCTCCTCATCTTTAAAAGTCTCTTCCTTTTCTAGTGTTTTTATTTAAGTGCTATGACAGCACTTAACAGAAATATCTGGTTAGCTCCTACTTATCCACTGCTTTTACTGTAGCCTAGGTTTCTGCAATTACAAGCATCATTTTGTAGAAACACCTGGAGGCTAGAAAAACCAGATACCTAGCAGCACTCTGTGCAACACACCAAGACTACCAGTACCAAAGGTATAAAGCTCATACTCTGATGCTTTACACGTTCATGAAAATCTTACCTGAATTCAGAGTTTCAAATAAGAATTGCAATTACAAACCATTTGTATGGTTCATATTTCCAAGAAGGAAAGGCCATGGGGAGAACGCAGGAAAAAATTTTAAAAAAAAATTGTGCCATTTTATTCTAGCTTGCTATGTTGTAAGTGTCATCTCAAGTAAATATTAAAAGAACGATTGCGTTGCAAGACATTTATTTAGTATTTTCTTTTCCTTTTCAGCTAAAGGCCAATTCCGTTTTCAAATGAATTCTGAATCAATGGTAGGCAAAGATTCAATCCTTTGTATTAGTATTTTCCTAAGGAAAACTAGAAACTCGCATTACTTCAAAGCTTTGGGGTTTTTGAGAACCAAAATAGATCAAGATTGATCACAGTTGTTCTGGTGGTGGCTAGAATAGTCTGACTAAAGCGTTTTCCCTACCTGCTAATTCTGCTTACGCCAAGAAAACAAAAAGAAACTTCATTTTTGCAGGAGGAATCACATTTTCTCCCCTACAAAAATCAGCTTAAGTTACAAAACAATTACAATAGTTGAAACAAAGGACTTCTGACCAGTCTTAGATAAGGCAAGGACAGAAAAAGCACACAGTTACAAGACAGCCTCTCTAAAACATGTGATGTATGTCAGATAAGATCAAGATACAACCTGAACAAAAAAGGTACAGTAAGTGGTTATTTTTTCATTTTTCTATCTTTTCTATCACTAATTTATTTGGAAGCAACTGTTTAATGTCTCTTAAAATACTGTTTTTTAAAAGACATTACATTTGTGCCCTGTTAATGTTACATACAAAGTGAACTTATTCTCTCACAGTCGAACTACAGGGTTTTGTTACTCTTGTTTTAAACCAGTAGGAAGCACCCTGGTAGCATTACTGAACAAACAAGACAGCGGATTGTCTCAGACTTCAGCAATTAGGAAATCTTTCACACACAAAATCAAATACTGTTTTTGCTAAAGAAAAAAAACCTTGTGAAGTCCAATCTTTCTCTTAGCCTTTTATGTACTGCTAAGATTTAGACGGCTCAAACTCCTAAGCAGCCCTTAATATTAAGCCAATTCTCCAACTACTTTTAAGACAGAAATTAAAAATCAAGGTACAGAACTGACCACATCATGTTCCCTACAACAGATGGGGTTAAGACATAACTGAGACAGTCTTCCAGTCCTACCTTAAGGAGGAAATAAAGTGTCAAAGACAACAGGAATTGTTTTCTTTGTTCAAGGTATATTGAGTTGTAATAGTATAAAGTTATACATATGCAAACAAGGCTAGGCAATGTAAGAAATATAAGCTACAGTGAAAGCAAAGAAAGAAGGAAATCTCTAGGGAAAAGGTTTTTAAAAGGTTATAATGCTCACTAGTTAAAATAATAATTTGGAAAGTAAAGAAGCAAGCAATGTTTTATTCTACCAGCAGCAGAAATACAAACTGATATGTCAGGCTCTTCTGAGCGCATCTGTATCAGCTAATAAAGAATGCATATATATAGTATGTAAATTTATCACAATTAATCACATGAATTTGTCCTACATTTTAATAAAGGATTCAGTATTTGTAACACAAAGAACATTAACTTTAGTCCAGGAAAATCTTTACTTTCATTGTAAGCATAATTTCTATGAAAAAGGCGAAGAAAGAATAAAAGTAAAGTCACTTTGATTAAACGCTACAAGAAGCCGTTGGCTTTCCAACAAGAATGGCTATTTGAGAAACAAGCAGGATAACAAGCATTCATTGTGAAACTATACATTTTCCTTAAGGTCAAATTCTTAATACTCAAGAACTCTTAAAATACATCCCAGCCGCCCACCCCCACCAGTCTCTGCTTTGCTCTCCATTCAGAAAGTTATCCGAGAAATGACGAGTTACAAAAAGTTGAGTTGCTTCAAAAGCGCCAGCATCTGGAAAATAAACAGCAACATTCAATGCGATATAATTTGATTTTTAAAAAATTGTTAACTTACCCTGCTCATAGAATCAAAACATTTTCTGACCAGCGATTCAACATCATTAGGTCTATCTTGAACATTTATCCAGTCTAACAAAGACACATTGAAGGAAGGCTGATCATCATCTTTTAATTCTACTGATGTTTCAGTGTCCTGAAGAGTAGCATTTTGACCAGATTCCTTACGATCTTTTACATTTTCAGGATCTGTGCCTTCCAAAGCTGAATGTTCAACTGACTTGCAAAATGAGGCTAACATTGATTTATTGTTCACTTTAGATACATCAGAATAAAGCACCAGTTCAGCAGACTTCCCATCCTCAGTTTCTTCACCTTCTGCCCCTCCATGCTCAGCTGAAGAATCCAGTCTTCCTAAACACTCTCTGTAACTATGTCTTGTTAGGCACTCCAGCAGTGGTATCTTGGCCATGATAGAAACAGCAGAACCCAAGCTTTTTTAAAAAGGGTGAAAAGAAAAAAAAAAAATCAGTATCTAGAAGCCAATTTGACATAAAAACTTAGATACAAACCACCCGTAATATAAAGTACTATTTAGTTTAGAATTGAAGCAGATTTCAAAATAAATTTGGTAACTACCCTTTCAAAATACCGTGTTCAGTACCAACATCATGAAGGACAGCTAAAGAAGTTACGATTTTTGCTCTCTTCCACTGCTGAATATGAACTCTTCTAAACTTCCAAGTAAGCTTATGTTTATAATGCAATGAAAAAAAGGACAGTTTGATAAACTGGGACATGCCCTTTTTTCTTTTATTTAAACACACAATTGGGACTTTTATGTTTCCAATCTGCATGGATACCAATGCTTGTTAGCAAAGATTGAGTGTCCTCTGGCTGACTACTTTTGCAGAATTTGAATAGTTTCTATATGTATTTGGTAAAAGCTATGAAGTTCAACTTTTTTTTTTTAAAAAAGTAAAACATATTTAGCTTTATTTCTTTAAGTATCCAACATCCACTTACATTCTATTAGGCAAAGCACTCTTAGAAACACCATAATACTATAATGTCCAGAAAGATATCAAAAATTTTCCTTGAAGTAACATCCAGAGTTTGCAGGATACAAGTATACACACATATATATACACACACACAAACCCTCAAAGGTGTATATATACACCCAAAGTTTGTGTTATGACTTCGTAGTTTCAATACAGATCACCATTCTTAATATCTGCTCAAGCGTATTACAAAGCAATTAATTCAAAAGTGCAAATATGTATTTTAAAATGTTGATTAATGTCTAAATCTATTATCTAGCTATTTCTAGTGCGCCTTTGGAAGAACTCCAGCTCTTAAATGGCTGTTCATTAACAAGTATATCTTCCACATAATTCAATACAGGTTTTTGCGTGCTGATGAATACAAGGAAAAAATGTCAGTTAAAAAATGACTAGCATAGAACAGAAAAAATGTTCTCTTTGACACATAATCAAACAAACAAATACATGCTTGATTAATTAGAACTAGCACTAGACATACAACACTCAATAAGTTTAAAATATAGTAACTTTGGAGATTGAGGCTGAAATTTAATGGCAAACCTACTGTGTAAGTTTCAACTTGATATCATCTATGGACTGCAAATAACTTGAATATACATTTTCAAACTTGAAAAGTAGCTTTTGGTAAGAGTATGTACAATCTTCCAAGTTGGCCATTATGGCAGCCCAGCCTTGATGCTGAAGATGTTCATCATGTACAAGACCTTCACAAAAGGAGCAAAGCTTCTTGGCAACCTCATACATTTCCTGGGGGGGGGGAAAAAAAAAAAAAAAAATTCCAGCAAAATACAAATCAGGTTATTACTGTGGTAACTATATAAAACATTAAAGTGAGACATAACATAAAAAGTGTTAAATTTAGATAGCTAAAAAGTTGTATACCTTTAAACTACATTAAAAATAGCAAAACCTCCTTCATTCTTAAATAAAAAAAAATAATTAGACAAAAAAAAAAGTATAGATCATTTACTGAGAAATATCTTCAAAACAGGCAGGTTAAAGTTGCAGTTCCAAAAACCTTATAAAATTAATTAAATGCTGCTAATACAAAACATTCAGTGCACACATACATGAATAATAATGCTTGTACTAATCTGATAGAAGGAGCTGGCAAACAAAGTCCATTAAGGAGAAAACTATTGATGAGCCAAAAGAAGCTCAGAACAAGACAATGAATTGCAGGATCAGTCAGCAGAAGCGCAGGTGCATCAGATGCAAGAAGAGATGCATGAGGAAAACAGCAGGCCAATCAATTAACTGAAGTCTTCCATTGATTAATAAACCAGATACAACATGATGAGAAGCAGTGGAGAGTGTCCACAAAACTCTAAAACACACCCTGAAACTTGGTATATGCAAGCCAACATGGAAGCTTTTCTGTTAAAGAACTGGCTGACACAGAGGCATTTTACTGCCATAAGAAGGTGAGAATTTAATTACCACCCAACTTGGTAGAGTTAAAACAGAGACCTACATATGGCAAGTACCATATCTTTCTAAAAGTGCACTAACATCAATGCCTATTATATTAAATTCCAAAGTTTTAACTACTAGTAGAAGAGTAACTATTTTAAGTTTACCAATTTAAGAAAAGAGACTGTCCCCGTCAAAGTGCTTACTACTCAAATACCAAAATGAGATAGTAAAACAAAAGTCATACAATAAATTCTTCAGCTCAATACCTTACCAGTAACATACTACATGGAAAATACTCTCCTGAGCATACTTGTATGTTGATTTTTAATATGTACCTAACCTCCAAGAAAGAAAATCCTACTACTTTTTGTACGTTGAGTATACTGTTGAACTAGGACTGAACACATAACTTTCCTCTGCTATAGTACATTTGAGAAAACCATGCATGGAGAAACAAGTTAGACAAATACAGTGAGAAAGCAGTGTTAAAAACCCAACACATCAGTGTATTTCAGAATGCATTTGCTGTTGAACACATGGTTAGCAGCGCATATGCATACACAAAAAAATTTAGAGCCCAACATCCCTTCCCGAAATAAACCACAAAACTGCAGAGCATTTTATCCAAACATTTCAGAATTAATATTGACAAAACCCGAGAGTTATGAATACCCTCCCTTTTTTTAAAAGTCCAAGTCTTATCTCAAGCAGCGTGACAAAATTGTGTCCTTCAAATTACTGGTATCTAAGCTATCAGCAGATGAACAATGAATATACAAACATACTTATACATGCAACTCCAAGGAAATCAAAAGCTATTACAAATTTCTATCACTTCGTCGTAAAGATGCTATTTGTCGTCTTGTTTTCCGAACTTTGGTCACTTTCTGTGCACATGACAATAAGGATTTCCGGTTTGAAAAGAACAGCTATTTTATTTGCTGCATGAGCTCTCACTTCCTAAGTCAAAATCAACCAATAACACAACTGGGACGGCACCCAGATAGCGCTGAAATCTGCAAGTCAGTTTCTTCAGACTACCTCTAGTTCGTCTATAATTTAAATTCTCATAAGCTGACTAATGCAATACTGACAACTTGAAAAAATTTTTATTATTTTCTTAAATTCACTTTGTATGCAAGTTACTCAAAGGCAAATTCCACAGCATATAAAAAAGATAGATCTATTTATTGTGTTCACAATGGAAGTCAAAAGTTACAAGTTAGTGTTGGCCTATGAAGCTTTATTATATGTCATTCTTATGCTCCCTTGAGAACCTAAGTGTTGTCAATTTAGGATTTTAGTTTTAACAAGGTTGTTTCCTCAGCAAAACACTTTCAAACACAAAACAGAAGTCACAAGTTACCAAATTTTAGTACGAAAAAAAAAATCATTACAATTGAGATCGCTTGTTACACTTGTTACTGATGACCAGCACTGACACTCCATACCTAGGTGTCTAACCTGTGGTGATTTACCCTAATTTAACCAAACCAGACGCTTGTGTCCCAGCAGTCTGACTCCTAGAAAAGTGAGAGTAAACAAGTATTTCCCAGAGTGGCAAATTAATATTTCTTTATTTTTTAGAAACCATGTAACAGATGGGCATTCTAGTAAGTGTCAGGATCTGTCATATAACAGACACTTTGCCCAAAGAAACTGTCATATAAAAATAAAAATACCCCAATGCCATCTAAGTACTCAACCAAGTATTCGTTGTCAGATGAGCTGCAGCTTCTTGTCGTATATGCAGGAGACACGGACATTAAAACAAAAAATCCCATTATGAAAGCAATCATAAATATGATACTGAGAGACAAAAGATTCTTTTCTGAACTATTTAGAGCTCAAACTGAACTAACATTGAGCTCAAAATTCATTAGGCTGAGAACATAGCTAAGTTTCTTTCAAATAACATATTTTCAAAGTAAGCTAACACACTACAAATGGCCCATCACTACACGAAGGACATTGAGGTCCTGGAGCGTGTCCAGAGAAGGGCAACAAAGCTGGTGAAGGGTCTGGAGAACAAGTCTTACGAGGAGCGGCTGAGGGAACTGGGACTGTTTAGTCTGGAGAAGAGGAGGCTGAGGGGAGACCTTATCACGCTGTACCACTACCTGAAAGAAGGTTGTAGTGAGGTGGGTGTTGGTCTCTTCTCCCAAGTAACTAGCGACAAGACAAGAGGAAATGGCCTCAAGTTGCGCCAAGGGAGGTTTAGACTGGACATTAGGAAAAATTCCTTTACTGAAAGAGTGGTCAGGCCTTGGAACAGGCTGCCCAGGGAAGTGGTGGAGTCACCATCCCTGGCAGTATTTAAAAGACGTGTAGATGAGGTGCTTAGGGACATGGTTTAGTGGGCATGGTGGTGTTGAGTTGATGGTTGGACTCGATGATCTTAGAGGTCTTTTCCAACCTTAATGATTTTATGGTTCTAAGTCAAACTGTACAATTAAACACAGACATGACTGTTCCAGGGCACACATGCAAGATATTACAAGGGCATTCCATATTATCACCCTCCCAAAGTTATTTTTACATGTGTATCCCAAGTGCTGAAGAAATTCTCTCTGGGTGGCGGGGGGCAAGCAGTAGAATTCTGTCTGCATGGATGAACCTGAACGCATTACAGTCCACAGGAACCCAGTACTGCTTTTGATGTTGGTTCCTCAGGCAGTATAATGAAATAAGCTCATTGCATTCAAATAGTAAAGAATATTAATCTGAATTCAGGAGGTCCAAGCAGATGGTTCTAATAAAGTTCAAAGACCGCATGGAGTAACTATTTTTCCACCTATCAGAACTGTTTCAGACTTAGACTATACTAAGCAGATACCAGAGCCGGGAACAAGAACACTATGTTAAACCATTATTTTATTTTTTAATACTGCATGGAGGGGGTCAAGAAGGAAACACTGTTTCAGTCAATCCTATAAGCCTGCTTTCAAAATATGAGGGTGTGCAGCACGAAAATGAAGTGGTGAAGATTTTTGCTTCCTTTGGAGTATCTATGTAGCTTAAAAGTAGTTAAGAAATTAAGAACTACACAGATATATCTTTCTTATCATTCCATCACTACTGAAATACACCTTCAAGTGATTTGGCTTGTTCTTCCAACCACCTCCATAGACGAAATTTCTGGGGAGACCTCCTCAAGCTACTTTAGAAGGATCAAGACCGATCTATTTCACATAACAGGTATGTCTGTATGCAGAAAAGAATTAAGCAGCACTCTGCTAAATGAATAAAGTCTAAAAACTGAATTATGTCAGGCATATAAATAAAGGCCTGCAATCCAACATATGTTTTAACACTTCTCAGTAAAGTTGCTAGCTCCAGCACAGAAAATGAAGCCTGCCTAACAACAGGCTTGCTTTTGTCATTGATTTTTCACAGCTCCACTCAAGGGTAATTGGCAGACACCCAATGGTTCACAGAGCATAAAAATTAACTTCAGTTGCCTTGTAGAGCTACATCCATCTTACTCGGCTATATCATTGGATCTAAAACACTGACAGCTTCACCATACCACTGGAATGTGGACCTCAAGAAGTACCACTACCAGCCCAAGATTGGACAAACCCAGGCTAATCTCAACGTGGTTATGTTGAAGAGTAAATAAAGGCACCTTCAATTCCTAATTTGCCAAGAAATTCACAGGCCCACCAGAAAGATTTTTATCTTTGCCCGGGTGCTTTAACAGAATGTTTACTCGAATTATCTCCTTTGTTCGCCTTAACTTAAATTTAGGTGATTCTTCTGATTACAATTACTTCCATTTGGTATGTTTCAATGAAAATCACTAGAAGCAACAAAGTATGTTCTATCTAAAACAGAAATTAACTGGTAAAGTGCTCCCCATCAATTTCAAGACTTCAACTTTGCATCCTACTGTTGTAATTCTGCTCATCTGAATGAAAAAACCCAGGGAAGGTCTGTTTGTCTTAAGTGGTCTTTGGACTTACCTCTAAAGAACAAAAGTTCTCAGGACATGCAGGGTTCTTTCCATTCTCTACAACCCTGTGGTAAAAGGAAACAAGTCATCAAAGTCCTCTATTGCCATGTGTCTGAATTCCTGTAGAAAGGACTCCTTATAGGTTTCAGTCACCCTAAAAATCAACTTCAGGCCAACAAAAAAGATCCTTGAAAGTGATATTACACAGGCTTATACACTATAACAGCAGATAAACGCTTCCAAAAAAGGTAACTGTTATCTTGCTTACCAAAATTAGTAACAGACCATTATCTCTAGTTCATGAACCTCCAACTAAAACATCAGCAAAGCTACTAGATTAATCACTTCAAGATTTCAGCTTTTAAAACCTGTAACT